TCTGCCAATGAAGCTACGTAATTCAGGGGACAGAATGACATGTGTTTTACAAACCAGTCACTGTCACTCATTAGTCAACTCCTCCATTGGGTATTCGAAGGGTTACCGGCTACCGGAGAAAAAAATCAACGATCGTGAAGAGGAAGACATTGCCTGCAATTAATTCTCATGCATTGCGCCAGCTTTCTCGATTTAGTACCCAATAACTATCAATGTATTTCTGGGACACATCGCCTACACCCTACGCCGTTCTTGGCTTACTTTGCGCCAGACATTTGAGCACTTTGCTCCTCACAGGTCTCGGGATCACAGAAGCTGTTGGGACTGCTGCCAGGACATCACGTCGCCAATAATCCCGGCTTCCGTGACATGTTATACGCAGCTGGGATCCCCGGAGAAGCACGTGCTGTCTTTGTTGTGGCGTTATCGTCGGAAAAGGCCGGGCGCGGCTGCCAGACGGTCTGTGCGGCTCTGTCCCGGAACGGCCGGGGGGTGTGACCTGAGGGGGAGGGGAGGGGGCACGCTCGGCACCGGTTGGTCGGCGCGGCAGCGCTGCGTTGACGTGGAGGGCTGCCGCCGTGCCCCGTCCGAGCTGCTGGCGAGCCGACAAAGGCATTCCGCACAGCAGGGCCGGCAGCCGCGGTGCAGAGGCTCATCGCAATGGGAGGGGAACGGGGTAATGTCAGATGGTCCCTTCCTGTCAGGTGGCCGGTGGAGGCAGCTTGGTCGGATTGGGGAGGGGAGGGGAGGTAACAAAATATGTGCACGGGACCCAATTAAGCCAACGATTTTCTATCGGTGACACTCAAGCAACACTATCTCGTCAACAATCAATCCGCGAAATCCGCTCAGTGCTCACTATCTGTATTACGGCCCGGTGTAGCGTCCCAGCCGTCCTTCTCGGCGCCGTCGTGACGACTGCCTTGCGCAGAGCGGGCGGTCCACGCTCACCACTGTGGGTCAGGTGGTACCGGTTAGGACGGACGGAACTGAGCGCATCGGACCGGTTCGCCGCCGTAGCCGGACAGCTCACCCCACATCCTCTCCGACTGAGCCAGTCCTAGGACCGAGTATCCGCTCCGTGACTGCGCTGAACAGCGGCGATAGCGGGGCGGAACTCGCTGCAGCTATCCCTCGCATTTCTGAACGTCTTCAAACATCGCAAGTTACCGGTTTACTGGCTGCGTTGTTTCCTCGTTTACCAATGCTGAATGCGATATTTCCTCCCCGATCCGCTCGCTTCGTTGGCTGTGTAATTCATTTTCCTTCGACACCCAGAGGTGAAAGCTTGAGGTTTTCGGCATATGGCACACAATTTGAAAACAATGTGTCGACTGTGGGTATTTTACATCGTATTTATGAACGTTTAAAAATCATAGAACGTTAAGTTCGTCTGATTTTGTGCGATGTTTTACATGAATGCTGTGACACAGCATGTTTTGACAGTGCACGACTGTGCTGCAGTTGTGCTGGCCCGACTGGGATCCCCGGCCACGTCAAAGGTCACAGGACCAAACAGTGGGCTACAGGCCAGTCCACCAGTGCAGTGCCGGCAAATGCCAGCTGGTGTGACTAACGCTCGTCATGGGCGGTTGACTAGCTCACACATGGTGCACAGGGATTAAACAAGACCGTACTGGCCAATAATGCAGAAGTGATGATAAAACTGTTCTTGAGCTTACGAATGTACGGGCACTCGCAAGAGATTCTACTGCTATGATGTAGTTCCATAGCACTCCCTCCGTTCGGACGTTGAGATCCGGGACGGCCCTGGGCAAACTCCGTCGACTCGCCGTTTGCTCTGCGCGGACCACTCCAAGATCTGCCGTTCCGTCGTGTATGCAACAGGAAAGGCTGCCTCAGTGTATGCAGTGCACAATAGTACCCGACGACCCGACACAATGCCTACTAAGCGCCGGACTCCTTCAGTGAGAGTCGGGAAAGTGTCCCGCCCGGCCGGCCGACCGGCAGCGGTGGTGGCGGCGTGACGGCTCGGTCCCGGCCGGCCGGTCCGACCCGACACGGTGACATGACTGCCGCGGTTACCGGTGGCACGACTGTGGGTCAGGTCACAACTCGGTCCGGTCTCAGTCTGTGGAGGGCCGCGGGTCGCCCCAAGTCAGTCGGCTCACAGTGGCGCGTAGGTACTGTCCCCCTCCCCCTCCCCAAGTCGGCGGTTATCTGCAATCGGCGGCTGACGAATGCAGGCTGTCGGCAGCGTCTGCACTAAACTCCCCACCAAGGTCTGGCCTGTCAGCGCAGAACGCCACGTCAGCTCACACTTCACAGCTGTTCGGAGCAGCAGACAATGCCGTTCCTCCGACCCCACGCCAGAGTATTTGTTTATCAACTGGCCAGGATTTCTAATGGTGAACATCAATAATACTTTGACAATCGGGAAGATTATAGGCCGGCTTTCAAATTAACGTTAGACTGGTTTGGGTGTGTGTTCATTATAAGCGGTTTCTGTACTGATTCTGCATCAGGCACATGAAAATTAATCCATTTAGGTACACATGGAGGAAACAGCTGAGCAATATTTGACGCATACCATCAGCCATCGTGCCAAACGTATGCACTATTAAGCTTTACGTATGGACGCATTGGTCCGCTTACACGGCCAGGATTCACGTAACGAGGCGCCCCGGCGGCGCTCTGCGGGATTGCCAGGCGTCTGTTTATCACCAGGGATCAACACTGCCAAACGCTGCCCTGGGCTCGCTGACACTAATTAGTAATTACCAAAGTCATCTCTGGCATTCAATATAAGCGCTGAGTTCCGATCTCATTTTCGGCTTAGCGAGGCGACATCGAAACTATACAGTATACTTGGCAGTTGGCAGGCATGAAAGGGAGTGATGGAGAACCTACATAACGTGAAAAACGAGATTTCTTAGCTCGCACGAGCATGGAAAACAGTAGCCCGGAAACGGAGCGATAACAAGTGGGTCGTGTCTACTGTGGACGTCAAACCGCGTGGGACGCGACTTTTTCGCAATAACTTTTGAATGCGTTGCCTCTCAAGAACGAAACTTCGGCAATGAACGTTTCAGACCCCGGCCTAATTTTTATTACTAAGGTTTTTCAATGTCCGATCAATATTTAGGGCACTTCCCGTTCACTCGTAATGTTAAATTTTGCTCCTGAAACTCTCTCGGTGAGCAGAGGCTACTCCACAAGGGGCGGAGCCATAGTGTGACGTTGGAGCTAAGCTCCGCCTCGGCTGGCCGTTGCCTGAGGCGCTACCTGACCCAAGACCGGTCAGTCGCGGTCCGTAGGGGTTGGTACGCGGTGCTTCCTGCCAACACACCCAGCCGCATGGCGTACGTTATTCATGCTTGTGTTGACTGTTCGCACTTCTATCAATGAAATATTTTCTTCGACTCGCTAAGAATGTCACCCAGATAGGAAGACTATGCGCGTACGCCAAATATTACGATGATTTAAGAATAACAGAAAATAATTAAATGATTATTTAATAAGTTTGTCAACGTAATTACGTAAATGAGATACATAATAATATAATATATTTACACAGTCAAGTTAATTTTTTAATTAAAATTTTAATTTTAGTTTCTTGTAGATACCAAACCGTCAGGAACGTTAGTACACTTCCTGTTATCCTGCCAAGCCCCAATATGCCCCAACTTAAATGTTTCCGTAATGCACCGGTACGCATAGCCGGAGGGGATCCGGATCCGCCGGAGCCGTCATATTTTGCCCTGAGTGGGAGCCGGAGCCGGAGCCGTATTGCCATTTTATTCGGAGCCGGAGCCGGAGCTGGAGCTGACTCAAATGTTCAAGGCTCTGCATCCCTGCTGCTAAGTCAATCATTCGTAGTTAATTTGGTAAAGGGCCATACTGAACAATCTCGTTTTTTTCTCGGATTAAAAAACCTGGTAAAAGGCCATACTGAACAATCTCGGTTTCGAGATGTCCGCCCATCTGAGACCCGACGCACACAGCATGCAGAACCCGTTCCGAGTGAGGATCGACCGACAGATGGCAGTCGTGTCTGAACGGTAGATGGCAGGGAATTCGTAGTTCGTAGGCGGGGCTTCGCGAGCAGCCTGACGATAGCCGCCATCCGGGCTGATATTTCACTTAGCATTACGAGTGAACGGGAAGTGCCCTAAATATTGATCGGACATTGAAAAACCTTAGTAATAAAAATTAGGCCGGGGTCTGAAACGTCCATTGCCGAAGTTTCGTTCTTGAGAGGCAACGTATTCAAAAGTTATTGCGAAAAAGTCGCGTCCCACACGGTTTGACGTCCACAGTAGGCGCCTGAGCGCGCACAGGACCTTGAGCTCCCGCACAGTTCCTGATCAATTATTTAATGCTTCATTCGTACGACAGACGAGACGTGCCATGGGTTGATAAAATGCCAACACAAACCACTTCAATTGAGTTTAATGTCAGTAAATTCGTTGAGGGCGACTCAGTCGGCCCAAAATAACATATTCCACCTCTGCGACACCTCTGACCCTACACTATCCTGCGCGAATGACCCGTCTGTAAAACCCAATTAACGTACCACTAACTAACCCTATCGGCTATCCCAGCCGTCAGTCTGCCTCTCGCTGTGCACCCTTCGCTCGCTCCCAGCTGTACGGAACGAGGCCGGCCGGGGGTGAGACACCTGCGCCACCCCGTGACACCTGTACCGGCCGATTAGACTCGGGCCGTCAGCACACAGACTGCTCCCTACATATACGCGCGTCCGACCGGCTCACAGCTCGTGGAACTGACGGCATACAAAATAAGACAGCTGCTGGGACCACGCTGACCACGGTTACATAACAAAACACAATTGTGTTTGGTGAATGATCGAGGCTCGATGTTCTATTTGATTTGTACGCCGATGGAAGCACGCGGTTCCCGCCCTGGGTTCCTTTCGATCACCTCACCGGCAATGTTTGGTAGTTCGTTTCGTTGGATGCAGCGGAAAGCATGCTGCCTGACTATGAACTGACAATCAACCTTCGTACAAACAGGGGTGGTGGGCTCAGCGATATTTTATTGACCTCGGCTGCAATAAAAGTGGAAATGGCAATGGCAAATTTCTGAACTTTGCGTGAGCGGCAGTCGGTGAGGCGATGGACATTAACACTCAAACAACAAACATCATCCATCTAATTCATTTAGCCTGACCATACTGACGGCGAGAGGTTTTGTAACACAGTCGCCGACCAGTGTCGGCTAGGCCGGAGTCTACCGAGCACTTCAAGCATAGCACATTCACGCTACCGCACTCAAACTATTATCGCACCATCTCCTCGGCTCATTTAATGAATTTCCTGCAACGCTCCAGTATAAAATCGCAAAACTGCCTACTGCACTGCTAAGCCACACTAAATGTACTGTAGTTTAGGTACTAAAATATGTTGAACTTTCAGTGGCACCTGAAGCGATGCATTTCGCTCCGCATGTCCTGCTGCTCGGTAAGTTACCATCACTTCTGATCCGGTCATGGTCACAGCTCTTAGGATCGAGGTCTGCTCGGAAAGCATCCAACAGGTAACATCGATCTCCGAACTGTGCGACCTCAACCGCAGCTGGTCACTGCGGTCCCCTCAGTCGCTCTTTTTGCCGACTCGTCTGTAACCCCCGCGGCGGTGGCGCTGCGGACTGACCCCGTCCCGACCATCTTCCGGTCAGATACGTCACCGCCGCTGACCGCCACCCACCGAGACCCTACTTCTTACCGGTCAGATGGTCGCGCACCTTCTTCATCAGGGAGCTCATGCGGTCCCAGGCGCCGGTGGCGCCCGGCAGGTTCTCGTACGGAATATGCTCGGTGATGCCGGCCGACCATTTCTCGGCGTCGTAGACGATGTGCGGGCTGGCGGCGGCCACCGGGGTGCCGAGCTCGCGGCGCCGGGACGCGCCTGGGGTTAGTACTGGCGCCTGCGGCGTCGAGCAGGCGGCCGGCGGCGCGTGCACCAGCTCAGACACCTGCTCCTGCTCCTCCATCTCCTCCACCTCCTCCTCGTCGTCATCCAGCTCTCCCTCTTCTCCGTCGGCGGCCGGCGTCTCCAGCGAGTCGAGCAGCGCGCGCCGCTGCTCCTCCAGCGTCTCCAGAGAGGGAGAGCCCTCCTGCGGCGGACGGAAGGCACGATCAGACGGGATCTCGAATGGGGGACTGACCGCCCCCATACATACACCAGCTCATGGCGGGCCGACAATTGCCCACGCCTAGGGAAGCTTATATAATTTATGCTTTAATCGCAAGTTTGTTAGATAAGTGGTTTAAGTGATAAAATTCGTGTAATGGGGATGTGGTCAGCCTTCACGACTGAGCGATTATCGGCACGCCCCTGGCATGCATCTGGACAGCCGTACCTATGCATTCTCGCAGATCTCAGAAACAAAACTATTGGTTGGGGTTTCGGGCACTACAAGGCTGCTACAACCATCGGCGCCCATCAGGAACTTAACCCTATTCCGGGCGGGCTCTGAAAGGTTCGATTCTGGGCGGGGGGGGGGGGGGGGGCTTTTCGGCCCCCTCTTCAGATATCAAGAACTACACACAAAACGGCGTTTGATAGGTCGTTTGAAGATCTACAAATTTTACATAAAACATTTTTGGGTTAGGTCAATATTGAGGTCACCAGAGGTCATCAACGATAAAATGTTTTGGAATTAGTTACTTCACAGATAACAGTAGTACTAATGTTATCTGTGGTTACTTATATAACTTTTAAACTAAGAAACATAAAGACATAAAATTAATACATTTTTTGTTGCTCTCGTCGAGGCGATGCGAAATAAGTATGCGGTGACCTTCGCAGGTCAGTTTGAAATTTGACCTGAGGTCAAGGTCAGATCATTCACCAATGCGGTTGTGGCGTATGGTCATGCTGCATACCAAACGACGCGCCTTGACCAGGCGAGCAGTTTCGTACCACTTACAAGTCTTTAGCACCATCATGTCGTGATTTATTGACAGAAAACGATTTATGACGTCACATGACCTCAGATGACCTTTCCCGGTGCCCCTGTCAATAAGCGGCACCAGGATCATTACCGATGAGATAATCTTCCATAATACTAAAAGAATTGGGTGGTTTTGACTCGTTTACACGAAGCAGGAGGCATTTCAATATTTTCCCATGGGCTTGCAATGTAAAGGTCACGAGTCTGGCCTGACCTCAGGTCACAGATATAAAAATTATGAGATATATAAATTGCACATACTGGTACCCTAACTAAAACCTGAAGAGAAGAAATTGATAAGTCAAAAACTCTAGCTCTGGCATGATTGCAAACTTTTCTGAGGTGGGGTCAACAAACCGCCTCAGGTGACCTGACCTGACCTTACCCGGCAACTTTTTTTTTGTCAAAAGGTGCGCAATGAATGTTTAGAAAAAGTCACCGAGTACCTATGAGCTTTCAGTCTTGCGGCGTTTGGCAATGGCACAAGAAAAACCTGAAGGGGGGGGGGCCTTAAAGGCCCCCCCCCCCGCCCGGAATCAAACCGTCATTTTAGGCACTAGTAACTCCAAACCGAACACAGGATCGGTAGGCCTGAACAGAACACTGAACAGTTGTATACAGTTACACACAACGCACAGCGACAGGAGCCAGGCGGGCAGGAGGGCGACATGTCGCCCAGGGAAACTGATGACGTCATGCCAATGGTTCACACGGCTGGGTCGGTGTAATACTGCATGAAATCACGTCATACAATATTGAGCGGAGGGAACACGACTTCAGTGAATGAACAGCCGGCCCGTGGTGGAAGGCGCCTTGGTTTCACCGATCGGCGCGGTGGAACCAAGACAACCATAGGTTGTAGTACAAAGTTTTCGGCGATAAGAGCATATTATTTTTCGTGGTGTTAGTTGGACTGGGTAAGACGTGTCTTTTTTTAAATTATTATTGAGGCTTTAGACTTTAGAGCGTGTTACGACCCACATAATCCCTGACGCAGATTCCCCAATCAATCGGCGTTCCCTGGCGCCCCTGTCTGGGTTTCAGAGAGGACGGTGCCGTCTCCGCTGCGGCAGCGGACGGTGGCGGCTGTCGAGGTCTCACGGTCGCGGCCAGGTGCGGCCCGTGCCGACACCTGGGTCACGGCCACCGGTCGATACGGGCCGCAGGGACACGTCAACGTACCGCCGACCACCGCCGACACCGGGCCGCGGGGACACGTCAGCGTACCGCCGGGCACCGCCGATACACGGACCGCGACATGTGGGGACCACCAGAAGCGAACAGACGCAACCGACTCAGGGGCGCGGTCAGGGTTCGCAGCATCGAAAAGTCGACAAGTTATAGTCGAGACACGGCTTTGAGTGGGATAAAAAATCGTTTAACAAGTGGAGACAAGGATTTGGAATATTGCAGACTTCTCAAACCGTCCATTGGCTGAGTCAATGACTGGGTGACCGCTGTCACTCATTTTAAGTCAAGCAGAACAAAGAATGGTTCGAGTTCTTACACTTAGCCATAAGCTTTTTCACCGATCAGGTTAATTTTTAAAGATGCTCGAGGTTTGACGTGCAGCCGGGAATCTAATGGTAGATCCGAACTGGATGTGCATCTCAGCGGCAGACAGCTACCGTGCCTAACACGGTCCACCTAGGCATCATACAGGTCCTATGCACAGACGCCACCTGGTGGCAGGCCTGAACAGCTCTGCACCCACCGCCCACCCGACAGCCAGCTCTGCTCTCCAACAACAGATATACCGACGGCTGTCGGGTGTGCCGAATGGCATCAATCCACAGCCACCGAACTAGCACCGCGGCCGGATATAGGTGGCCCACTCACCCTGTCTCCGTTACCAGTGGTCCCCGCCGCCGCGTCAGTCGGCTCCGGACCCTCGCCTGCCGACAGACAAAACATTACTGAGTTTATAGTCACTGCTGAGACACACGCTAATGATACATCAGGAGACAGACGTGATCTTAGCGGTAAACCGTGTGCCAGCATGACGAAACAAAGCACCCAATGATACAACTGTGGCCTCAATCCTTTGGGATAATCGAGCTGGCATGACAAAATTATGCTGTATTAATCGTGTATGGTATACATTGGTCATTGGACCAATCAAAGATGCTTTTAATGATTCGACCAGATAACACATTTTAAGGGTCGATTGCGCCAAAGTAGTCATGCCATCACAGCCCATTCTCTAACACGAGCTGTTGGAGCACTGAGCAGCCGCTAGTGCTACTGACCGTTGGTGGTCGGCTTCTCTCTGACACTAGAGGGCAGGTCGGCCGGCTGCTCGCGCTGGAGACCGGCCCTGCGCGCGGCCGGCGCCCGCCGCAGCCGCCGCTTCATGGCACGCAGCGACCAGTACCTCGACATGGGCGGGTAGGCGTGCCGCCGTGGGTCCTGGAGCAGATAAACCGGTGATATTCAGCGTCCGTAGCGACAGGATACCGTCCGAAAGACGAGGGCGAACCGGACGGTCAACACCTTAATAAAATGCCGAGGTGGCTAGGATCTAGTGACTGCATGACTATCTACTTCTAGTGACTTGTGAGGTGGCTCAGCACAGCTTGCGGCAAACACATATGTAGCCAAAAACATTGGAATTACCCAAAACGCTAGAGTAACAACTTACTAAGAAATGCGCAAGAACAGTACATGACCTATGATGACATTAAACTTACAAATACAAAACTAATTAGGTGATATCAGACCTTGAAAGCTGACGGTCATCGCGCAAATCACTCGAAACCTACGTAGTCGCCTGACTTACCACTGGGAAGCCATTTGGACAATCGACGTTGAAGCCAGGGTACGAGATGAGCTTGGTCAGGTCATAATGCTCCTCCTCCTTTTCAGACAGTTTGCCGTCTTCTTTGGCCGACTCTGTAACGCATAAATACAACATTAATCGAGCGTTGGACAAATGACTGTTAAGTACCGGTCCTATATAGTATATTCGCTATACCCCCGAAATTACTGCTCTGACCGTTATTGGTTCCAGGGGTGGACAATTGTGCCGAGTTGGGGTAGCACGAGTCTTCCCAATTCCACGCCGGCTGCGCCGGCTTGGCTTTGGAGCCGCACCAGACAGCGGAGGTCAAGGTCACCGCCAGGGCGCCGGCGGATTTGCTGCGCCCGTGCAACCCCAACTCGGCACATTTCTCCACCCCTGATTGGTTCAACTGAATAGTTCGTCCGCTGCACATTCACAAATCATAATTAGGTAGCGGCTAAGGATGATCAGCTATGAAACAAACTTGAATATGCAAGAGCACTTCGGCGGTAAAACTAGGCAAAACTTGAAAAGAAAAATGTGGTAAAAAGATATGGCCGTGAGGTCAGAGGTACAAAGTATCACAGATGCTCTCATCCAATATCGTTTTTCAAGAAATGGCAAGCTTATAGCGATTGCAGTGCTGGAGCAAAAGTTTTCAAAAATTAAAATTCACGCCCCAATCACACTTTATCACACACTCTGCTCTCCTGCTCTAAAGACACCCATTCTGCCCCCGACTGAACAGCCCTCTGGCCGCTCCTCTGCCCCGTCACCGGCCCACCGTCCGCTCACCGGGCGCCGGCTCGTGGTGAACGGAGATGTTGGAGCGCTGCAGACGCGCCGAGCGCAGCCAGCCCGGCGGGTAGCCCTGCACGCGCATCCGGTAAATGTGCAGCGGCAGCTCCAGGTCCTGCAGGCCGAGCGCCTCGCGCAGACCGTCGCTCAGGGAGCCGGGCGCCAGGTGACCATAGCGCTGGTCGGCCTCCTCGTGGTAGCGGCTGTAGCTGCGCCCACACCAGTGGCCGGCGACACCGGGTCAGGGCACGGCAACACACACCAACATACAACAGTACACGAATTGTGCTTCATCAGAATATTGGGGATAATGATCGTCTAATATGCATGAAAACCACTATCGTACAAGTTTGCATGAAACATTGTTTCATGCGTTTTTCATAAAAACGCCAATTTTCATTGTAGTTACTCTGTGACGGCTAAACCCTTTAAAAGTGTAAACATACAGAGAAAATGCAAAGAAGAGCTATGTTTTTTTTTTTGCAATATAACCACTTCTATTAGTCTACGAGCTATGAGCACTCATCCAAGAATGAAAAAAAACGGGAAAATTAACCTTCAATAACCTCTGTTGATCTAACATTTGACTTCATTAAAAAAATGGCCATAGTATTCAGTGACCTTTGATGCTCTTGAACAACACTTACCGCATGTCACTACGTGGCCCAGGAGCCAGGTTAGAGGGGCATAGAAACGCCCCACCACAAGGTGTTATAATCAGACAACGGCACTGATACATATTGAATTACAAGCAGTTGCTAAAATGGCTGGTAGTTAACATGCTGCATGGTGGACATTCTGCAAGAATGCTCTGGTAGCACAATCAAACACTTTAAGTCACTTTAAGTGACCATCCCACATTAACATTAGTTTTGAGTCGAGATAGCCAAATTGGGGTTCCTGACTTTCAATTACCGGTTTGGGCACTCATTATATCGAGAGATGTTTTAATTCCGAGATATTTAATTCCAAAATCAGCAGTTTTCGAATTTCTAAGGCCTAAAGGGCTAATGCGTTTGAATGCCCCCCCCCCCCCTAGAATTTGTGACGTCAGTGCAGATCTAACGTAACTTGTACTAAAACCTTTGGTAAAACGTGTTAGTATATGCATACTGCTTTGTGTGCAATATCTGCAGCACTTATAGGATGCCAATTTATTGCTTCCAAGTGACGTCATAGGAAAAGTGGAGGCCCCCCAAAAAGTTCAGGTGTAATATCTTGAAAACAGGTGAATATTTTTTGGTGATTTTTGAAAGATACCCATTTTTGCACTTTCTGAACAAGTACATCACTTTCGTGTCAATTCATTAGCTTTTTTGAAGGTGGGAGGATCCCTTTAACAAGTAATTACACAGCGTATACGGTTTACATTGTTTCATTTGACAGCACAATGGGCCTCAAACAGAACATGTGTTGACTTACACGGGATTTTTGCTGACATGTGCACTGCGGTTTTTGGCAATTCTTGCTCCATCACGAGGCAGCTGGCACTCCGCGATCATATGGTCGCCCTCACAGTTGAAACAGACATTTTTTGGCTTTGTTTCAGCTTTATTTTTAACTTCACCTCTTCCACCAACGACCCCTGTAAACATCTGAAAGAGAAATAGAGAATAATATGAGTTATATTTTAGTATCAGGCCATGTGTGTTCATTTTAGTTTTTGTTCACCCAGACAAGGAAAATACAACAAAAAGCATTAACACATGTAGATTCGCCGATGACCACTGTAGTCCGGGCGCCCAAAAACCCCAATTCATCATCATCAACACATGTAGAAATATCAGTAGGTACAACAAGTTAAAGCTGCTGACCTGCTCATATTGTGGTGCAGAGTCTGTTTGCTGGTTACCAGCAGCCTGAGAGTTTGCAGCATCTCTCTGCTCCTCAGGGTCTGCAAAGAACTCCAGGCATGGCTTGCCATCCTTCTGGACAGATGTAGCAATTTCTGACTTTGTAAGCTGAGAGATAAAGTCAGTTATGTCCTTGCTGTACTTTCTGAAAAAAGAGTATAACACCAGTTGTTAAAAAATAGATGTAAAATACCACTATTCCCCAACACAACTACAATAAACCACAGCACAAAATACCACAATGTGACCTCTTGAAGTCAACAGAGCAAAGTTACACAATCACGTAATTTAGCATATATGTTGCTTAAGCTTCTAAAGGATAATTAAAGATAATATTGTGATGAGAAGCATATATGAACAGCTGTTGTAAGAACATATCAAACAAATTAACATTCAACTATTTGCCAGCTGCCATAAAAACAATCATGCTTGCTGTGTGTGCGTGTTTTTTTTTAGTGCCAAAATGGGCCAAGTTCCAAATGGGTACTACTTTTTCCATTTCCATGATTGAGGTCTACAAGCTGGTCCATGGACATGACAAGGTAAATGCTGGAGAAGAGTTTTTGAAATTAGAGATCAGCACAAACCGGGAAAGGACACACGGACATGCACTCAGACTGCACAAGCCAAGACATCGACTGCACAGACGCAATCAATTCTTCTTTTCAAGAGTTGTGGACCAATGGAACCAACTGCCTGAACATGTGGTACTGAGTCCAAACATCGACACATTCAAAAACAGATATGACCGTCATATGACATCGAGAAGAGGCAGCATCCCATGAGCATCCGCTCCCTATGCCTCTTTCCTATCTACTATGGTGAGCACTACCATGGTGAGCATTTCAGCAATTCCTCATTGTTATCATGTTATATAGCATGGAGAATAGATAACTGATAGAGAATAGATAAGTTCTGGCTATAGATAACATGTCTTTTGATAGGCATAGGTCATAAGATTCACCCTAAGGGCATGAACATTATACCCACCTTGAGATGTCTTCAGACTGAAAAGCTACAGTCATGATTGGAGAATCAGTGAGACTGTTAGTTTCTTCTCCATGACAAAATCGTTTTCTTTCTTGGACAGATTCAACAATACATTCTGAATCATCCTCTGCCTTTCTTTTTGAATTATTTCCCAGGCTAGAGTCACTAGCAGTCGAGGTCTCGTCCAAAGTAATGACCTCATGTTCGTCTGTCTTCTCCATTGTTGAGCCAGAAATATATCAAAATCTTCCTTGAAATCAAATAATTGAAGTCAGGCACATTTCAGCCAGACCCTATGCTTCGTTAAAAAATATGCACAATGGATGCAATTTTTTAAAATCGTAGCAACTCTCCTCCCAGAACAGAAACTTATGACAGAAATAGCGGAATAAACAGTAAACGGCACACCGACCAGCCTCTAGAGAATAAACAAATGTTCACTTGATAGTATGACGTTATTGATAAAGCCCATCAGAGACTCACGTAACAAAAAACAATCCAAACTTTTTTTTTGCAATTTCTGTTACTGGAATTATGTGACAAAAAAATGAAAAAAGATTACTTTGAAAATTAGATGACAACATGTCCTCGTCAAAAAATTGAGGAAAATACATAATATTGAAAGAAAAATATCTTTGACGTCATAGGAACTAGTTCTCAAGAAAACAAAAACAAAAATCAAAGGTATGAAACTAGTGCGCAGAGTTCGCAACAAATCTTTCACTTTATAAATCACATCAATATCACTTGTCCGCTGCAAGGTCCGCTGGTCTTCTGAATTGGAATCCAGGCTAAATTTTCCTTTTGCTCCTCGCATCACAAATAGCTCAGGCTCTTGTTCGTACTTATCGATCATTGAAGTACTTTATAGCAGAAATAGGGTCATATATAGGTTTCTACTGTGCGCGTGCTAAATTAAAAAATAAAATAATACCCTGATAGCTTGCCGGTTGCCGACACCACACTCGTCTTTTTGATATGTCAAACGATCAAAAAGCGCTAAAAAATGGACCAAGGGGAAAGATATTCCTCCATAGTGGAACATACAAAGGGGACTGGCTCAATGATCTAAAACATGGTAAGTCTATTGATAATAAGGCCTTTTTTCTCAAAAGTTGTAGATTCATTGACATACTTTCGATTGAAAATTGATCTTTGGCATTTGCGTAACTCTACCATAGTTTTCTTTTTCACCTGGTGAAAATGTGCTTGGGTATAGGTCTCTTGATAAAAATCGCACATGCGGTGGTAAATCGATTGGGCGTTTCCATGGCGACCGTAGCTCCAGTATGTAAACAGTAAACACAGGATTCCTCGCTCGGGCCGCTCGCGCAGTATGGGCTGTGTCTCGGTTGCGGTCGTGCTGTACCTATCCGATTATTGCCGACACTGACGAAGGCCCTTTCGATTTGCATCGTGTGTTGATGTTAGTCAATTGTCTAGTGAAACAAGAATCAGAAGATATTTCGGTGCAGATACTACGTGGATCTTCAGCACGTCTTCCGGTATGTTAGTGATTTGCAGTCCGTGAGACACCCGCCTATCAGAAGTTCAAGCACGACGATAGACTGCCCGAGGGGAGGGCTGAACTGTTCGAACTTTTAGCCTCAGGAATGCTCATTTCATCCTCGAAACTTTCAGTTTGCTGACGATGAGTACAGACAGCAGAAAGAAGTTCATTTTAACAACCGTCGCAAACTACTTTGAGGTCAGTCCATCAGACAAAAATATAGAAGCGTTGGAAAACAGTGCCGAGCTCAACACATTTCTCGATGATGGAAACTGTTTCGTGCTGATAGCATGCGGGGAAAGCAAAGACGGTAAGAATGCAGTTCATCTGAGCAACAAAATAGACGTGGGAAAAAATGACGAAAAAGTGTTGGTCTTCTTTAAGATCAAACCAGAAGCCATCACTCCAGACAATTTACACACGAATGTCTTCATGTCATCGATGCTGGACTCTCCAATAAGTGCGCTGTTTTATACCCTTCAAAAGGTGTACTCACCAGCGCTCCTGCAAAACGAAGAATGGAGCGGAAAGGTGGACCCAAAACTACAGGATCTCATATCTAATTTGCAGTCGGGATTGGGAAGCATTATCAGGCGTTCCGATTCTAAACAAAGGAAGGGCGCCGATGACTCCATGAGTACCATTTTCACACCATCTGACGAGTATGAATATTGGCTGGAGATGTCCAACACTGGGGACCGATCTGGATCGGTGTTTGCAAGTCTGCTGAGACCACTAGATTTGGCTTTCAAGAAGCTGGAGTCAATGAGCATCGGAGAAAGTGAAGACGTCGTCGAAGAAGCATTCAATGCCTTGGATGACCTGTGGAAAGCAGATGAGGCAGAGTATCCCGAAGCGCGGATGAAGCTGATGATGGATGTGGTTGGAAACACGCTGTGTCGATTCATTCAGATGCGGTTGTCTGACGCAGACTTGTGGCGAGGTTCGTACAACCAGGTGGAAGAGCCCCTGAATCAAGCCGTGACCGTCCTCGAACAGTGGATCGAAAATTGCAACCGGCTGACAACCGTGTTCTGGCCCAACTTCTCCCCGCACAAATGGAAGAGCCCCGCCTTCGTACCCGAACATGCCAAAAGCATGGTGCAGCGACTCAACGAAGTGATGAACCTTCGCATGCTGCACAAGCAGCTGACCAAACTGCTTTCCACGGCCGAGCAAGATGAACTGAAGACAAAAGATGCCTTCGCGCCCTTCTCTGGACTTAACCCTCTGCAGTACAACCCATACACGGAGCCACTATGGAAAGCAGCTGTGCAACAGTTCCAAAACTTGCTGAAGCCAGCAGAGCAGAAAATTGCCGGAAAACTTCGCATGCAGCTGCGTAACATGCAAGGCAACGCCCTGCAACTCATGCAAGAGTTCAAGCGCTATCGTGAACTTATCAAAGAGGAAAGCATTCGGAAGGAGCTCATAGCAGAGCGCGAGATGTTATTAGGTCAACTGCTGGAATATGTAAAAACAACACAACAAAACTTTCGTAGTCAACAAGGATCAGGACCACGCAGAATACTTGATGTACCTCAAGTGGTGAACAACATCTACTGGGCTCGACATATAGAGTCGAAAGCTAAGGACATCGAGAAGACCGGTGAAGCAATCCTATCCGATCTAGATGGGTACAGTGGCCTGAAAAAGGACACAAGTCACCTCTTAGACGAGTTGCAAGAATATCACCGAGAGCAGTTTGATTCGTGGAGCAAAGACACTATGGAAATGATCAAAGACAAGACACTCAGTCTGGCAACTGAAGAGCAAGTCGTTGAGTTTGAGAAAGGCAAACACATGAGAGTAAACTACAATCGTCGGTTGGTAGGACTCATTAGAGAAGTAAGACAGCTGATCGTTCTCGGCTACACTATTCCATCAAGAATCATTGAAGCCACTAACCTAGCCAAAAAATTCATGACACAAGCAAAGGCACTGGAACAGGTCGCAAACTTTCACAACACTATCGGTGATCGCATCATCAAGTCACAACGTCCAATGATGCTGGAGGCGGCGATGTCATTCGCTCAGCTAGTTCAGAAGCAGCAGGGCATCACATGGAATAACACGCAAGCAGTGGACGAGTACATTGTGAAACTGCAAACTGCTGTTGAGAGGCTGTCAAGGGACAACAACCGACTTGTCACGTCCCACAACCAAATCAAGGACAAAGTGCTCCTAATGATGGACACGGATCTTCTGCGGCAACAACAGAAGTGGAAAGACTTGCTCAGAGAAATAAGGAACATTTTTCAGCAGCTTGAGTCGGCTGGGTTCAAAGATCAGAAGACATGGCGGGCCCACTGGGACAGACAGATATACAAAGCCCTCGAGCACCAGTACCAGCACGGCCTTGAGGTAGTGAACCAGCATCTCCCGGAACTGAAAGTCGAACTTGTCTACAGAAACAGAAAATTACAGTTCTCACCGCCCATTGAAGAAATTCGCTTGAAGTACTACAGCCAGCTGAAGCGTTTTCTGAACATCCCGAACAACTTTCGTGGAGTAGGGGAAGGCGGATCGGAGGCCAGCATCTACCCAATCATCATCGAGAGGAATGCTTTCCGATACAACAAACTGTTTCAAGCCGCCGAGGAGCTTTTCCAGCGCTTGGAGTCCGTGAAGGATAAATTTGAAGACTGGGTCGCGCTCGGGTCTGTGGACATGGATGACCTCATCCAGAAGCGCTGCAAAACGTCCGAAGACTATGACAAGAACTTCAGGGCATCAAAGAGCAAAGGTCAAGAAATTGGCAGACTTCCAAGTACTGAGGAGAAGATAGATTGCATCACTGTTAGTTTCTCTGCCATTAGATCTGAAATCGAAATCATCAACAGGCGGTACTGGGACGCGCTGGTTTCGCTGCTCCAGCACAGCATCATCAGAGACTGTCATGCCTTAAACAGGTTCGCAACAGAGTCTTCAGAAGGACTGAAAAGACAACCACAGACGATCGAGGAAGTTGGAGAGTCGGCAGCTAGAAGAAATGAAATCGTCGCCGAAATGCCAGAATATGACAATCTCATGAAAGACGTGGAGAAAAGGAACAAGATGCTGGCAAATTGGACAAAAGACAAGGTTGACCAAGTGTCCAAGGTAACATCAAAATGGGATAACTTCCAGAGCCTTGTTACGAACTATGACGCATTGATGTCAAAGCAAATCGAAGGTCTGAAGTCCAGCATGAAATCGCAGGTGAAAAATCACCTCAAGGACGTGGAGAGATTCGCTGCCAAGTGGTATCAGTTCAAGCCCAAAGATGACATATTTGACCACGATACAGACGAAATCCTAAAAGGCCTTGCAATTGTCAAAGAAAAGAAGCGTGAGTGGGACGTTCTGGTCGAGGAACGAGAGAAGCTGATGGCAGGCTTCGAACAATTTGGAATGGAAAAACCAGACATGAGCGAGGCTGAAAAGGTGGAAAAAGACTTGTTCGAAGCAGAAGCTTCCTTTTCACTCTTCGAGGAGTATCACAACGGCATGAACGACATGCTGAAGGAGGAGTGGATTGTTTTCAGGAGCAAGTTGTACCGCTTTGAAGAATACCTGGGTCAGTGGAACGACAAACTTCAAGAAGAGCAGAAAAACCCCTTGGCTGTAAAGCTACTGAAGGAAATAGAAAAAGATTATGATCTTGTCCCAGCTATGAAGTTTGTCCGAGGAGATGCCTTCAGCGAGAAACATTGGAGCGAAATGTACAACATTCTAGGCATTCCTACGTCTCTTGGCATCGATAAACTGACATTTGGCGACCTTATGCGTGTGAAGTCCAAAATTTTGGACAACAAAGAAACTCTGAAAGAGCTCAATAGCAGAGCAACGGGAGAAGTAGCCATACGTCAAGCCCTACAGGAGCTAGATGCGTGGGAGATTGAGGCCAAGTTTAGTCTGGTCGAACAAACTGACTCAGGAAACAGACCCATCAAACTGATCAAAGACTGGAAAGAGCTCCTGAACAAGGTCGGCGATCTTCAGTGTCTTCTTCAGTCGCTGAAAGACTCTCCATACTACCAAGCGTTTTTGGATCGTGCTGGAATCTGGGAGCGCCGACTAGCAGACTTGGATGAATACCTGGCCAACCTGAATCAGATTCAGAGGAAGTGGGTGTACCTGGAGCCCATCTTTGGAAGGGGTGCCCTACCCAACGAGCAACCGCGCTTTAAGCGTATCAATGATGACTTCAGGGCAATAATGGGTGATGTGGAGAAGGACCCGCGGGTTGTTTCTCTTTGCAAGATATCCGGACTCAGAGACATGCTGGTCACCATGATGGACCAGCTAAGCAGGTGTCAGAAAAGCCTGAGCGAATTCCTGGAGGAAAAACGGTCTCAGTTCCCTCGTTTTTATTTCATCGGTGACGACGATCTTCTCGAAATTCTGGGACAAGCAACAAACCCCACAATTATCCAGTCTCACCTGAAGAAGCTATTCGCTGGGATATACAGAGTGGACTTTGACGACAGCAACTCCAAAATTATTGCGATGAAGTCTCTTCAAGGTGAAACGGTCAAGCTGAAGAAACCAGTGCAAATCACCAAGAACGTAGAGGGCTGGCTACAGGAACTAGCAAACGAAATGAAAAGCACATTGACAGCTCTGCTTGTAGAGTGTTTGCAAGACGCGCATGGAAAAGGACCAGACCCACTCGCATATCCAAGTCAGATCCTGTGTCTGTCAGAAAGCATTATGTTCACTGAAAGGTGTGAAAAGGCTATCGAAAAAGGGACCCTAAAAGAAGCTCTAACGGAACTCAGGGCTCAGTTAGAGAGCTACACAAACCAAGATATTGACACCAGTGACGATGAAGGAAAAGTGCTCCAGCTGAAACTGAAATCATTGATATTGGATACCATCCACAATGTCGCAGTAGTGGAGGAACTCATCGCGTCATCCGTCAAAGCACTCGATCACTGGATGTGGCAAAAGCAGCTGAGATATTACATGAAGAAAGATGTCGCTGTAATGCGGATGGTGGATGCCGAATTCGAGTACACCTACGAGTATCAAGGCAACGCCCCAAAGCTCGTCCATACACCGCTCACCGACAAATGCTATCTTACGCTCACTCAGGCCATGCACATGGGAATGGGAGGAAACCCATATGGCCCTGCCGGTACCGGGAAGACAGAATCAGTGAAGGCTCTCGGGAACTTGTTTGGACGACAGGTGCTGGTGTTCAACTGCGACGAAGGCATTGACGTACAGTCCATGGGTCGCATTTTCATAGGCCTGGTGAAGTGCGGAGCATGGGGATGCTTCGACGAGTTCAATCGTCTGGATGAGGCAGTGTTGTCAGCCGTCTCCATGCAGATCCAAGTGATACAGGCCGCGCTGAAAAACAAGGAGCCCCGTATCAAGCTCCTGGGAAATGACCTCGGGATCGACTACAACTCCGGCATTTTCATTACGATGAATCCCGCTGGCAAGGGTTACGGTGGGCGCTCAAAACTACCAGACAACCTGAAGCAACTGTTCAGACCGGTGGCAATGACTACACCCAATAACGAGCTTATCACAGAGACCATTTTGTACTCTGAAGGCTTCAAGCATGCGAAGACTCTGGGCAAAAAGCTCACCGCTGTATTCAATTTATCGAGACAGCTTCTGTCTGCTCAGCAGCATTACGACTGGGGCTTGCGGGCGCTGAAAACTGTTCTGGGAGGATGTGGCAACCTTCTGTCGCTACACAAGGCGTCATTGGAGGACGGTGCTCAGGTAGACGAAAAGACGGAGGCGAAACTTATCGTACAAGCGGCCAGATTCAACACCATGTCCAAGCTGACATTCGCAGACACAAATCGTTTCGATTCTCTTATCAACGATGTCTTCATCGATGTCAAAGTTGATGACGTTAGCTACGAAGAGCTTGTAAATGCCATCAAGGAGACACTGAAAGAGTTGGGTCTGATGGAGAGTCAAACTCAAATCAAGAAGGCGATTGAGCTCTATGAACAGCTGAACCAACGAATGGGCTGTGTTGTCGTGGGTCCAAGTGGCTGCGGAAAAAGCACATTATGGAAAGTGCTTCGACTGGCTATGATCAAAACTGGCCGGACAGTGAAGATTCACACCATGAATCCCAAGGCCATGCCCCGCACTCAACTTCTCGGGCACATTGACATGGACACACGAGAGTGGTTCGACGGCGTTTTGACCAACAGCGCCCGTCAGGTTGTGAAGGAGCCGAAAGAGGTTCAATCTTGGATCATCTGTGACGGTGACATAGATCCGGAGTGGATCGAGTCACTCAACTCTGTGCTCGACGACAACCGCCTGCTTACGATGCCGTCCGGAGAGCGCATCCAGTTCGCTCCAAACGTCAACTTCCTGTTCGAAACACATGATCTCAGCTGTGCTTCACCTGCGACAATATCTCGAATGGGCATGATTTTCTTGAGCGACGAAAACACTGATGTTGATGCTGTCGTCTCAGCATGGGTAGCTCGACAGCCGGAAGAACGCCAGAAAGTGGTGGGTCAACTCGTAGAGGACCACTTCCACAACGCTGTTGAGTGGGTTTTAGATGCCGACGCATTTGAAACAGATACAACCCTCATTGGCACTGTGATGAATGGTCTATCGCACTTGTCCAACGCAAAGACCAAAACCGGTTTTGCTGTGTCCCTCGTGTATGGTTTAGGCGGAAACCTGAAGAAGGAAGCAAGAGCCAAATTCGCTACCGAGGTCTTTGGGTGGTTGGGTGAGTCTCCTCCAGACCCACACAATCCCCTCAACTTCCACTACAATGAGCGAAGAGATAGAATGGAGGCGTATGGCATGGGCGAACAGGCCAAAGTGACTGTCGAAGCCCTGTTCTCGTCCAGCCCGCCGCTGATTTTGACACCAGACATTCAGAGAACGCTGGATTACTTTAGGCCGTGGCTACAAGGAGAACAGCGTGAACCTTTCCTCATGGTAGGACCAGAGGGGAGTGGAAAAACTCAGATGCTATACGAGTGCTTCAAGAAAATGAAATCCACCCAGGTGGCTACAGTCCACTGTAGTGCGCAGACAACACCGCAGCACGTCCTCCAAAAGCTGACACAAATGTGCATACAGATCACGACAAACACCGGAAGAGTCTACCGACCGAAGGAAACTGAGTGGCTTGTGCTATACCTGAAGGACATCAATCTCCCAAAGCCAGACAAATGGGGAACATGTCAGCTCATCGCTTTTCTTCAGCAAGTCGTCACGTACAAAGGTTTCTGGGACCAAAGCCTTGAGTGGGTGGGACTGGAAAACGTCCAAATCGTGGGAAGCATGATCGGTGGCAAGGCCCTCGGAAAGCATGAACTGTCGACTCGGTTCACGTCCATTATTCGCCTTCTCTCTGTGGACTACCCTGACATGGATCAGATGCAGAACATCTACGCCTTGTACTTGAAGCCCATCCTGCAAGGCATGTCTGGTGGGGTTGGTGAAGCTCTCTCGGCAAAGACAGGGCAGCTGGCTGAGTCAACCCTGAAGGTGTTTCAGCAGCTGCAAACTTCGTTCAGCGCAGATGACCACAGTCACTATGTCTTCTCGATGCGCAACCTCACAGACTGGCTTCTTGGACTCATCCGGTACGATATCGACGAAGGAAACGCTGTTGAGGAAATGCTGGAAGTTTGGGCATACGAGGCCTGTCGCATGTTCAGAGATCGGCTTGTCACCGATGTTGACCAATCGAAGTTCGACAAAATCATCTTCGATGTGATTTCGACCGACTGGGGCATCAACCTCCACGGTCATCTTGACGCAAAGTTTTTCGTGACACCAGGAGCCCGATCCACATCTCAAACTGGGGTCGGTCGCTCCTTGCCCATCACTGGTAAACACCTGGGCAGCCTGGAACCAGACGACTGGCAGGCGTGCATCGTAAAAGGTGCCAACCAGTTCGTAGCTGAGCATTACGACCTGGATATGTTCGTGTTTCGTGAAGTGCTTGAGAACATCGCCAGGGTCGAGCGAGTGCTCTCATTTCCAGGAGGATCCTTGTTGATGGCTGGCCGTTCCGGAGTAGGCCGTAGAACATCCGTCGGTATTGCTGCCTGCATGTTGGGAGCGACTCTAGTGTCGCCGAAGATGGGCAAGGGATACGGCGTGAAGCAGTTCCGCACCGATCTCAAGGCTTACATGCAGATGGCTGCCATCGAAAACCAGCAAGTGGTTTTCATCTTGGAGGATCATCAGGTACCGATTCGTCGTTCCTGGAGATGGTGAATTCTCTGCTGAGTGCAGGAGAGATCCCGGGTCTTTTTGCACCCGAAGAAATCGAACCGATGGTCGCTCCACTCCGCGACGACGCATCCCAAGAGGGATTCAGAGGTCCTCTGTTCTCTTTCTTCTCATCGCGTGTGAAGAAAAACCTGCATGTGGCTGTGATCATGGACTACACAAATCCCTCGTTCACGGTGAACTGTCAGAGCAACCCTGCCCTGATCAAGCAGTGCAATGTCATGTGGATGAGCAAGTGGAGTAAGGAGAGCATGTGCTCCCTGCCAATGATGGTCATCACTAAGAGCAAGGACTCGGGGGACGCAGCAGGAGTCTTCACACAAGAGAAAAAGAAGAAAAAGGACAAGAGAGAAAGACGAGTTTCAGGCGGAGATTCCCTGCTAAATGGATTCCTCTCCATCCACCAGTCCATGCCAAGCAACGCTGCGACACCGAGAAAGTATATGCAGCTGATGAAAACATACCTGAAAGTGTACAAACACAAGAAGCAGATGATTCTCGACAGGCAGCAGCACTTGAAAGGTGGTGTCGACAAACTGAACGAAGCAACAACAGTTGTGGACAAGCTGAAAAAGGAGGCTGGAGAACAGGAGGTCAAACTAAACCAAAAGCAGGAGGAAGCAAACAAAGCACTCAAGATGATTACCAACACCATGAAGTCAGCAAGTAAACAAAAGGAGGAAATGGAGGTTCTGAAAGACAAAGCAGAGAAAGAAAGTGTCAAAATGCAAAAGCGGAAAGAAGGCATCGACAAAGAGCTGGCAGAAGTGGAACCCGTTCTGGCAGAAGCCCGAAAAGCAGTTGGAAACATCAAATCCGAGTCTCTTTCCGAGGTCAGGTCACTTCGAGCACCACCAGATGTCATCCGTGACATTCTAGAGGGAGTGATGGGACTCTTGGGCATAGCTGATACTTCATGGAACAGCATGAAAAGCTTCTTGGCACAAAGAGGGATAAAGGAGGACATCATGAAATTTGATGCCCACAGCATCTCTGTATCACAACGAAAGAAGGTAGAAAAGCTGCTGAAGGAAAGAGGAAAAAGTTATGACCCAGCAAATGCCAAGCGAGCGTCCCAGGCAGCAGCGCCGTTAGCATCATGGGTGAAGGCTAATGTCACTTATGCAGTGATTCTGGAAAAGATCAAACCACTGGAAGACGAACAAACGCCCTGCAAAAGAACATTGACGAAGCTCAAGAGGCGATGGATCGACTTGGGGATGATCTCGGGAATGTTGAAAAGCACGTTCAGGGGCTCACGGAGCAGTTGAACAAGTCGACCAAGGAAGCTGCTTCAATTGAAGTCGGCTTGACCAAGGCCAAAGAAACGTTGACAGCGGCCGAAAATTTGGTTGGACAGTTGTCTGGGGAATATGACAGGTGGACAAAACAGTTGGATGAGCTGCAACACGAGTTGGAGACGCTACCTCTCAGGTCACTTCTAGCTGCGTCTTTCATCAACTATCTATCGGATGCATCTGAGGACGTGCGCACGTCTAAGACGCAGCAGTGGTGCGAGCTCCTCGGCCTGGAGAAGTTTCAATTCCGTGGTCATATGAGCACTGAAAGAGAAATGCTGACATGGAAAGGCGAGGGTCTACCATCTGACGACCTGAGTGTGGAAAACGGCGTCGTTGTCATGCACAGTGGAACAGTCACTTTCCTCATTGACCCATCATCGCGTGCCATCGAGTGGCTGAAAACCCATCTGAAAGATTCAGGAGGAGTAGAGGCAGTCACACAGCAAGATGAGAAGTTTTCAACACAGCTGGAAATGGCTGTGCGATTCGGCAAAACGCTGATCATACAGGAAGTTGACCACTTCGAGCCGGTGTTGTTCCCACTGATGAGACAAAATGTGTCTACACAGGGCACGAGACAAACCATTCAGGTGGGCGACAAAATGCTGGACTATAACGAGAACTTTAGACTGTTCCTCGCCACAAGAAATCCAGAACCAAGCATTCCACCAGATTGTGCGAGCATCCTGACCACCGTCAACTTCATCACAACCAGAGCTGGACTGACAGGTCAGCTATTGGCGCTGACGCTGCAGTCCGAAAAGCCTGAACTGGAGGTGAAGAGAAGAGAACTGTTAAAACAGGAAGAGGACAACAAAATCAAACTGTCTCAGTTGGAAGACAAGCTTCTAGTGGAGTTGGCAAGTGCCAAAGGTAACATCCTGGAGAACAAAGAACTTCTGGCCTCTCTGAACGAGTCAAAAACATCTTCGTCAAAGATCGCAACTTCCATCAAAGAAGGACAAAAAATCCAGGAAACCCTCGGAAAAGAGCGCGACGCATATCTTCCACTCGCAGAGAGTGGCTCCCAGTTGTACTTCATAGTCACGGATCTCTGCAAGATCAACAACATGTACCACTTTTCCCTGTCTTCGTTCATGGACCTGTTTTCACAGGCCTTTCAGGTAAAAAGCGATGGAGTCGATACTGGCATGCGTATCACCACTCTCAAACGAGCGGCCACTGATGCAGTGTATACAAACACATGCCGATCTCTATTCAAAGCCGATCGACTGATGTTTGCGCTACATTGTGTGCACGGAATGAATCCAAAGATGTTCCAGGCTAACGAATGGGAGGCGTTCACAGGGCAGCTGCTGTCCGACGTCAAAACTGATGCAGAAACTCTGCGAAAGCAGATGCCATCATGGGTAACTGAAGATCGAGCTCTGGCTGTGTCCTTGTTGAAGTCCAACCTCCCGAAACTCTGGGAAGTGCTGAAACTCGAGGACAGTAATGCGTGGGCAGGTTTCGCTACTAGCCCCGAGTGTGAGCGCAACCTCCCTGCACATCTGAATGACAAGCTTACGCAATTCCAAAAGCTGCTGGTAGTGCAAGCACTTCGACCTGACAGACTGCAGACGGCCATGATTGAGTTTGCCTCCTCGGTGATGGGACATGACCTGTCTCCACCTCCCCTCGATCTTCGAGAGCTACTGACGGAAACAACTGCATCAACACCGGTGCTCATCCTCATCTCTCCCGGATCCGATCCTTCAGAAGAGTTACAAGAACTCGCAAAGAACAAAGTGGGACTCGACAAGTTCTCCGAGGTGGCCATGGGACAAGGACAGGCCGAGATTGCACTGAGAAAGCTGAAATCGTGTAGTGAGTCAGGCGAGTGGCTGTGCCTGAAAAACCTCCATTTGGTGACTGCGTGGCTCCCTGTTCTTGAAAAAGAACTCCTGAAACTGACTCCGAAGGACACGTTCCGACTCTGGCTGACTGCTGAAGCTCACACAAAATTCACGCCGACGCTCCTGCAAAGCAGCATGAAGGTCACATACGAAGCCCCTCCAGGTGTGAAAAAGAACCTCCTTCGTTCCTACACGATGGGGGACCAGAGTACATTGCAGCTGGAGGCGGAAACGCTCAGCGAGCTCAGGCGCTGTTTGCCCTGGCATGGTTCCACGCTGTGGTCCAAGAACGACGAACGTTCATTCCTCAAGGTTGGACCAAGTTCTACGAATTCAACTTCGCTGATCTCAAGGCAGGTGCAGACATCCTCGACCGCTTGGTGGCGATGGGAACCTTGCGCTGGGACTACATGCACGGTCTGATGGAAAACGCCATTTACGGTGGCCGCGTGGACAACTCATTCGATCTTCGTGTGATGGTGTCATACCTCAAAGAGTTTTTCAACGGAGAGGTCATCTCTGGGTCGTCCAAAGCTCATCGTCCTCTGGGCCCGAACATCAACCTGCCGACGTCCGCAGACTTCAAGGAATACATCCGCATCATCAAGTCATTCAGTGAAACCGACAAACCCATCTACTTCGGCCTTCCTGCGAACATCGACCGTTCGGCACAGCGCATGATCAGCGCGAATGTCATCAGCCAGCTGAAGGTGCTGATGAGATCAATGCAGGCGACTGACAAGTTCGACCGCGACAAGTGGCAGAAAGAACTGTCACCAGTGCTAAACCTGTGGAAGAAGCTCAACTCAGAGGTCAATCTGACGAAGCAAATCACGCGGCAGTCAGCACATCGAATGTCGATCAGCAGCACCAAAGAACCAATCACCTCTTTCATCCAGCTCGAACACTTCAACGCGCTGCGTTTGGTACAGGACGTGCATCGCAGCTTGGCAAACGTCAGCAAAGTGATCCGTGGCACTATGCTTCTGTCCCCTGACGTCAAGAAGGTGGCAGATAGCCTGATGCGCAACGAAACACCGGGCGCGTGGCAGGCGGTGTGGGAGGGACCAGAAGATCCGTTCCAGTACCTGCGCTCCCTGGTCAGTCGCACGCTCGCCTGCAAACGCTGGGTGCAGAAAGCCGAGTCGGGCACACTGCTCAACGAGCCGCTCGATCTATCTGAGCTGTTCCATCCAGACACCTTCCTGAACGCACTACGCCAGCAGACTGCGCGCTTGCACAAAACAGCCATGGACGGATTAGTGTTTGTCTCGTCCTGGGCGAAGATCGGAGTCAACTCGAAGATGCCGGTAAAATTGACTGGCCTGCAGCTGGAGGGCTGTGCATTCGATGGAGCACGACTGACAGAGAGTCGTGCTGATTCGCCTAGTGTCACTAGTGTACCCGTCTGTACAGTGGCTTGGGTGCCTCGTGACGATGCCGAAGCCAAAGTCCCGACCGAGGTCATCTCAATGCCGCTGTACATGACTCAGGAGCGCGAAAAGGTCGTCGTGTGCCTGGATGTCCCCTGCGCTGGGGAGACCGGGCGCTGGATTCAGTCGGGTGCCGCCATGTTCCTCAAGGATTAGCTGTCCGACCCGTCACAAAGAGCTGGTGTGAGGTGCCGACGTAGGACTTGGCGCCCGCCAGTACGATTGCCGTAGATTTCCTGTGAGGAAGTCAGATGCACTTGCGAGGAAAGGCCCATTTACTGGGAAGAGGATCGGAGCTGCACCGTCGCCGTCGCAAAAAGAATGCGTCCGGACTGCCTGAGCTATGTTTCTTTTCGGTGTGCGACTTACTGTGATCAGCTTACGGCAAGGTCGCGCGATTTATGTGGTTTTCTTAATACCACAACTATAGTAGTGTTCATGCTTGCTCGCGTTGTGATTGTGAAACTGTCAAGTTAGTGCATGAACGTGCAGAAAATGATGATTTCGTTATCAGCCATATTCAGGGTGTGTTATCGAGAAAGTTTATAGCGTGTTATTCAGCATTGAGGAGAAAATGATGATCGTGATCAACCGAATGATGTATACGAACTTTGTATGTAGAAGCGAATATACTGAATAGTGAATGTATTAGCAATAGCGTCGTCTGGGGTTTGGCGTTAAATTTGGTTTACGGAATACATACAGATGATACGAGGTACATACACATGAAAACGAAAGCGCACTATATCGTGTTTAACCCGGCGGCCGCTGGGCCTCCGCGCCACCCGCCGGCCGCTGGGGGGGGGCATATAGTTGCCCCCCCCTTTACTTCTGCGACGATATCGTCGCAACGCGAGGAGATAGAGAAGCGAAACTTTGCACACATCTTCCTGAATACCTAGCCGAGGTTGTGTCCAAATTTGGTGTTGATGCCATTTGAAATGACGTCATAGTGACGTCATAAGTGAAATTATAGTTTTGCGACTCTCATATTCCTCACGATACATCAGATATATGGGACCGAATATAAAGGACCGATTATTGGTCAGAAACTAGATGGAAGTGTAGTTAGATGTTGAGGATGACAGCAGTAGTTCATTTACAGTTGAGTTTCATGCTCAGCGTCGTCAGAAACGGTCCATATCGGAAAACGGCAAAACTTTATGACGTCATTGTGACGTCATCTTAGGCGCTAAACCACCAAACTTTCCTCAAACATTGCCTAGGTATTCATTTGAAGCTATGCCAAGTTTCACGTTCGTAGCTCATCAGGTTTCGGAGATATTCACAAAACGTAAGGGGGGGCAACTTTATGCCCCCCCCCCCCCAGCGGCTCGTGGGTTAAAGAGTGGTGTGGACGCCTGCTAATAGTGACTACTGTTCACACTCCTTTTTGGTACTTACGCTGACTGATGTGTGCGCTCCCTGGTCGTACGGTGCGAAACTGTTCCAACAGGAAAGGGCATTTTCGAGTGGTCGAACGGCGCGATCTACAGCGGCGACTGGGCGTGGAACCGGCGCCACGGGTACGGCGTCTACACGGAACTGTGCCCCCGCACTGCCAGCTGATCCAGTACAACGGACAGTGGTGTGCGACAAGAGACAGGTCAGCGGCGGCGTCAACCATATTCACACAGACACACGATCCCCGGACACAACAGTCCACCGCTAAAAAAAAATGTGAGGCTATGCCAATCTCAGCAGATGGCTTTGACCGACGATTTTTAAATACGGAGTGATCCAGAGGAAGACAGCAAATAGTGGGCTTGCAGGCTGTAAGCTACATTCCAAGTTTCATGGTAGTCTGACAAATAGTTCCTAAGATACAGATGCAAAACTTAACCGCTACTGACAGTTGACACCTCCCCTTACTTTAGCGGTGAACTGTACAAACGAGGCGTTTCACCTACTGACGTGCCATTTAGATACGAGCGTCTCCAAAACATTGATGATAAAACAATTAATTGATTTTATGATTGTAGATGCTCTGAAAAATTAGCTCCCAACTTAACCCTCGCCGGCACAGGGGGGGGGGGGGGGGGGGTTGATGCAACCCCCCCTAAGGTTTTTCGCGAATAACTCGCGTAAAAAGCGGCCGATTGCGACGAAACTTTCAGTACCTCGCATTGATCAATTTTACACCTACCCTGAAAATGTCATGACCCTGACCCCAATGACCTTTGACCTGTGACCTCTTTTCTGTGACCATGTTTGGCCGAAATCGCGGTTCGGCGCATGTCCGCTCGCATTAGCCGCGCGTTTGCAACTTTTCGTGGTTTCAAACGTTCAAACATGTGATTTGATGTTGCTCCCATGCATTAGGGGGGTGTCAAGGTCACCTGAAGGTCAGGTCAGGTCATTGACCTTTGGTGACCTCGGTTCACTTTTTCGAGTTTTACATGTTTCTAGGCTAGTTTTTGGAGCTGAATTCGAATTTAGCAACCATTTGAACATTAACGAAGTAGTTTTGGTGCCTTGTAACATGTTACGAAGCTGTCCGAGGCGGTTGACACGTATTACGAATACCCGTCACAACCCCTACCGGTTGACCTGACCTGACCTGACCCGACCTGGTCTAAATGCTTAAAGACATCATCTATGATCAAAACTAACACGATATTCGTGATCAGCACCCCGGAAAACCACATAGCAGCCACACTTTACGACTTTCTAACAGGTCCGATTTCCCGGTTTTCGGGTCATTGACCTGACCTGGAAGGTCACCCGATGACCTAGGACCTTAAAATTGGGTATCATCGGCTTCGTCTCGTGACGGGCAACACGCTCGTTTTTTCCGCGAAGCTCTAGCTGGATCAGGGGCCAAACGCGAGGGGGGGGGAGGGTCGTACCAACCCCCTTGTGCCGTCGAAGGACTCAAAATGGGCTGTGCGGCGAGGTTAAGAATGCCTGCACATCGTAACAAAGAACCAGGTCCGTTGACCGTTGATCATGCATGTAAGATCCCATAACAATCAGACCCTTTACTTCCTACCAACCATGAACAGCACTTGAAAAATCATTGAATTCCTTCCGAAGCATCCTTGCCCAGCTGGTGTGACCCCGCAGGGACATGGCGTGCAATTCTACGCAGACGGCGAGAGCTACGAGGGTGACTGGCACAACAACAAGCGGCGCGGCTGGGGCAGGATGTTCTACAAGGACGCAGTCTCTACGAGGGAGAGTGGCACGACGACATTCGGGAGGGCAGAGGACTCCTGAGAAAGGGTACGTCCAGTGATCCAAAGTAAATCAGCGTTGGTTCGCGTGATTCCGACCCGGCTATGGGAAGGCGGTGCATGTTAGAAAAAAAATATGACATGGACACTCATAACAGACCTATAAACAACATTATCATACCTCAAGCGCCATGTTCATCAAGCGCAAGAAAATGCATTTCATGCATTACACTATGTAGTTACCGTTATCACAGACCCCTGTGCAGAATCTGTGATTGCTTAAACGTTTAAAAATCAATCCATGAGGTCAGATAATGCTCTGGTGCTGTGCTGGCATATGTATGTTAAATCTGCCAAGAAAGTGGTCCACACGCATGACGGTGTTTGCCGGCCGCAGCTGACGGTAACTGTACGAGGGCACGTGGCACCGGGACACCAAGCACGGCCCCGGCCTCTACCAGCACAAACGGACGGGCAGATGCAGGAGGGCATCTGGGTGGACGGCATGGTCAAGTGCAGCGCAGTGGAGGACAAGAACCGGCTGTTTGCCTCCGAGCCCACGCCGTACCCCATACCGCTGGTCAGTGGCACTGCGCTACATGACCTCGCTGAGGCGGCCATCAGATTAGTGTACGTTTGGTCAGTCAACTTAACTCCATCAGGGATCAGAAGTGATCTCACCTGTCTCCAGGCCAGGATATTTGCCCAAATGACATCGATTCGTCTAAAGTAAGCTAAACGAAAACTACTTTTACGTTATTGAAAACCACAGATTATAGTCTCGTGACGACTACGCAGTCATCGATTACAACCATTGCAATAACAATTTTGACTCTCCGGGTTTCTGTACATGACAATTTTCTGAGCAACTGACACTTGACAGTCACATTGCCTTTGCGATTCTAGGAACTGTAGCCGGCCGTTTCAATCGATCAAGTGGAGCATTCCGCCGCCACAGCACATCGAGCGGTTGGTCCTGGCGACGGCTGGCGTTGCCCGTAAGCCTGCCGTGTTGACCGGCAGTTGCCGCGCTGTCTGATCGATACGGCGGTGGCCCGCCGGCCCACCTGACCGTGTCTGTGTGTCTGGTGTCCAGCTGGAGCTGCTGCAGCCGGTGGCCGTGCTGCGCGAGGCGGCCGCCGAGTTCGTGACGCTCATCCCCGAGCAGTACCGCCAGGCCGGCCGAGACGGCCTCCTCCGCCTCCTCCACGTACTCGTCACCTCCAGCGTGGCCTCCGAGCCCGGCACGGAGCCTCCTCCAGTGACGCGGCCTCCTCCGACACATCGCCTCCAGCGCTGCCAGCACAGACACTCGTTAGAACGCTGCGCCCGCGATCTCCGAGCAATAGCGAATAGCTGGGCCTGGATCATCATGAAATTCATTGTTAACATAATAAACATAATCATGCGATAAATCTGATGTAGCAACTCACCAAGTGTTCAAATCGTCATCTTGTAGCAACTGATGAAATGATTCTGAGTTGAATGATACATATTTCGTTGACAACATAGACGATATATTGCCGAATAAAGGAGCAGTGGACACAGCTTGTAATTGCAGAGGCCAAGCATGAACACCACAAAGGTCTAACAGGCTTGAACACAGTCGCATTGGCAAAATAGGTACCTCGTAAAGCTTTCGTTCAAAGAAAAAAAAATGGTACGATGTAACACAATGTGATACATTGTGACTATTTTGATAAATACCTTAGTGTATATGGAAGACACGCATACAAACAAAAACGGGTGCTACACGAAATAGCATCAGATCCCCATCAGTCCTTTTGTAACACTCCATGATTTGCCTCGAGCACGGCACTAGGCCTATCACAAACCCGTCTGTAGCCCATTGGTGGCACCACCTCAGACCGTTCGCGCCTGCTGTCCGATCAGAGCTGATCCGTCCACGGCCACCTGGGATTCTATGGGGGTATCACGCCACGGGGAGGCGACGAGTGCTGCCTGCCAGGCGCTGGAACAGGGCAAGGATGCCGGTAGGAGGCGG